CTGATCGAGGCATCTGATGTTTTTTTCAAGTTTTCAGCAGCGTGTCTTATTCATTGAGTAGAAAGCATTTAATTAACCGATCATCAATCTTTTCAGTGGTGTTTTCCGTCTAGAAAATAACGATTTAATCCCAAATCGGATAATGATATTTGTCGAGAGAAATGTCGTAGGAATACAATCTCCGGAAATGGACACAAAGTGCTCGAGCAGACAGAGTTTGATTTTGGCGAGACACCCATTTTCAAATCACATTGGTGTTAACATGAGGTTCAGAAAACATTCTTATTTATGGTGCTCAGATATCCTGAATATCCTGCCATTCATTTGAAAAATTTCGTATGCAGTAGCTTTACTTCAGTCTTTTTCGGTTACATTTCGCAAATGAGGTGTAGTTATTTAATTATGTGCAATTTGGTGTTGAAGTGGAACATAAGGTGGGTAGGGACGCGCCCATCCGATGGGCAGTAGGAAGTGAAGCCGGTCATGAGCTGTGAGTTTTAAGCAACCTTATGAATAGTGCGTTCTGCTAGTGAGTTAAGTTCCTTAGGCTTGCTTGGGATTTGGAGTGGAACAAACCAAACATCACTAGGGTGCTGCAGTTGATGACTAGAATCAACATTGAAGCAATTCACTGTAAGTTTTTTGTAACATGTCAAGCGGATTTCCGTTAGTACGCCAAAATCTACCAATAGCAAAAGTAGGTTAAATCAAGTGGTCGTAAGAAAGGCCGTATTTTCGGAATTTTTGAGGAGAGGAAGGAACTATCCGGCTAAATGACGACGTGCTGCCTGTGTGAACCCTAAGGACATTGTAACCATGGTAAGAAAAGGAATGTTTTGGCTTGGACAAAACCAAAGAAGTAATGGAGGAACTGATAAAACCATTCATAATACGAAGACATTGTCACACTATGATTGACGTGCTATCGTAGTTTGTTCTGTTGGAAACCTGTGTTCGGATGTTCAACCACTGCTGGCCTTGAACTGATGTTCTTCACCCTAGCTCTGCCCATAATACCCCACTGTCTAACTTATTATCACCGGGATGGAATGTAAGAATTGATGCACTTAACGTGTTCGACGCTAGGACGTCGCAGCTATCAAATGAATTATAATTTCCCGTTCAGTCATGTGAAATCTGCGTTAAACAGGGTTTTCTCCAACTTTTTGAATTGTTGATACTCAGCATTTTTGTTTAAGTTCATTTGTTCTCTTTGATTTTATTGCTTCTTGAGAGAAGTCACCTAATGAAAGCTGAGTGGTGCAAGCGCGTTGGTACTAAACTTTTTGTTTCCGAAGTACAATTATTGGCGAAATTTAAGACTCAATGATAAACCGTAGATTAGTGTCAAGACCAGTATTCTTTTACGCGCCGTAAGAGTCCTTGGCAAAACATTCGCTTATGGTAACGGGGCGAGACATAAGACAGCATAATAACCTTGTAGAAACCACAGCCGAACCAAGCCTTGGGCGTATCTAGCATTCCACTTGGTCTGGTTACACTTACTGTAACCGCTGTCGCAGACTTTCGGTTGATTAGAACGACAACAAATCGTTAGTTATGACTTGGAAATTTCGGAAGGAACATATTTTGTTCCTCCAACTTAAGTTAAGCATCAGGTTCTTGAATATATCTCCAATTTACATGTTCTTTGTAGAATGCAACCTGCTGACATTTATCTATGCTCCGAGTAACAGCCAACTTTGCTCGTGTCTCATTATTTTAGATCTGCAGGATACTTAATCAGAACAGTGAACGTGACTTGTTAATCTGAAGTGGAGACCACATTTTTTTCCGGCCGATCCTGTGTTTACACATTAAGGATAATTTCCAGCCAAAATTTATCAAAAGCTCCTAACATTCGCACCTGGTCATTTATAAAACCAAGGCTAAGTCAACTGAAGGGGCGAAAAGTCAACTAATCAGTAAACTTGAATACTTGGTAAGAGTCTACAAGAGCTTGCCAATATACAGAGTGAGAGTGCAGTAAAAAAACTGACTTTCGACTACCTTTTAAAATGATTTTGTATGCGCACATTCACAACAGTAGGTTAGTTTGTTGCAAACCGTCCTTGAAAATTTAAATAAATTGCAACAATGCCAACTTTAAAGTCTCTAAGCGACCAAATGGAATTCAGTTGGTAGAGTTTTGGTGGAAATTAGTAAAAGTACCCCCCGCACCCTTTGTATTCTTCTGCAGTGATCAGTAATCTCCATGGTGCCGTGCCACAAAGACGTTCGAGTCGTGAGTGGCAACAATATACGTAGTTTGCAGCATACTATCTAAATCATTTGATTATGCTGAAATCTTGATTTGGATGCTTATACCTTGTCTTTAAGCACTAGAAGGACTGATGTAGTAGGATTCACCTGTTAAAAACGTATGATACGCAGAAATCTTTTCCTGCCTTAATGACCTCTCAGTTAATGATATTTAGTTCGGAATAACTTTTTCAGGTATACTATCACCCGAAAAATCGCTTGAAATATTTTCGTTAGAACCGGCAGCAGCAACAAGGTATCTTTTTTCCCGGGGTTCTTAATTGATTTCATTTTTTTGGAAACGGTTGCAAGTATGCCGCTTTGTTTTCCATTGTTCCCCTCAACTGTTCGCCAGGTGGGCTAGGATGCCAATCATCTTGAGGTCGCAGAACCAGCTCCTTCGGCATTGAAGAGTGCAGCGTCGCCTAGCAGGCAGCCATGCTCTCCGAAACTTCACCCCTTGCTTAAGTCAAACAGGGATAAATGACGCAGTGTTCCGGCAAAATTTTTGACGTCTAAAGTGAGCTTCATCATGGCAAAAAGTAAAGTTTGCGGCATGTTTTTATTGACTCGTTTACCAAGGCTGCGGACACCATACCATGATAGAATGTGGACAGAAGTTTTTCATATACCATATTTTTCAATACCCTACAACTTTGCCACAAGCTCCGGCGTATGCCGTCCCCTCAGTCTGTTTCATCGGACACAAGCTAGTAAATTTTCATCCGGCGTTCTCTTACTCAGAAGTGAGGATAGAAGATTTACACAATAAGTGGACTGGGAGCGATTTTGACGTTTTTATCTTAAGCTTAAAAACTGTGGAATTCAACCTTGCTTGCCCACAAATAACAAAAGAAATCAATAAATATCGAGGATGGGTAATTTTGTTTACTTATCGGTCTTGACACAGACAGTTAGCGGTAGCGACAACTTAATTGCAGAATGTACCACATACTAGGATGCAGACGGTAGAGTACTGCACACTGTCTCCGTTCTTTTTTCCTAAATCACTGATTTGCAGGAAAAGCTGAAGTTTCTCGCTAATTCATCCACTTTTAGGAAAAAACGGCTTAAACCAGATGCTTTCGAATCACAGAATGGGACGCAGAGACAGTGTTTAGATGACTCACAAACCACGCTACTTTGGTGACGTGTTCATTTAAGACATACAGACGGAGTTCTGTGAGCCTTTCGCTTCCGTACGTTAATCATCAAATAATTGTTTTACCTACTTATTCAGGTTTTTATATTGCTAAGATCAAATCAATTGTCCATACTTCAACCCAACCGTACCATACCGTTCTATCCAGGACTTCGTATGCATTCAATAGTGATGTTCCTCGTCAGTACTAATGCGGCCATGAAGATTAGTTGCAACTACCGCGGTCGGTTTTCCGCCTAAAAGATGGGAAGTTGCAGGAGATACCGTAGGAAACGTGTGCTGTTCACTAAGGTTCGCACTACTCACGACAACTCAAGTACTCTGAGCATACCATGACTACGCATGAATGCTTAGGGATGGAATCGTAATGTCTAGTTATAATTATTCTTGCTTCGACAAATTATTCGGGATTAGTCGGTGAATGGTAGGTGTATAGTTGTTCCTGCCTTTCGAGGGTCATGATTTACTTGTTTGTGTGATATCCATTAACAGCGGCACCAGCAGAAATTTTGTGCTGAACCTCGGCATATTTTCAGGTAGAATGTGAATATTCACTGGGATCCCATACGACTGAGTTTCCTACCCCGCTAACTCCGATTTTGATCAAGGATGTCCCACAAAAAAAACTGCAGTATAACCATCCATCTTAAGAGTAAAGTACTCGTGGCTTCTAGGGGTTCTCCAATACGGGGTGTCTCGTCTAGCCACAACTTGCTGTGGCTGCGCGTGTTCGTCTGTATCAATGGAGAGATGAATTTCCTTGTTGCCAGTCGATGAATCAAACGATCTTCGCGTTTGTTCTATGCTCTCTTTTTCGATGGAAGTACGCCGGTCTTATTAAGTGGCAGTAAGTTGAATTACAGAATAGGTCAGGTGTTGCTATCTGCCGGACGTGAGGAAAATATCAATCTAAACGGAAGTAAATGGAAAGGAGTTTGTAAAATCCAATATAAATAGGTATGGAAAAACAAGATAAAGTCTATGTGTGCGACATGGGTCTACGTCCATGACAGCTTACCAGACAAAGCGCAAGGCTGAAAAACAAGAATATGTGAGTAGAAGTCCCATTTAGCAAGGCCAAATTGCTGTCTTTAGTGTGTGACTCTGGGATCCAGTTGCTTAAGTATGTTGAGCTACTCCGATCCAGTTTAATTAGCAACCAGAAACATTCCATCAGAATGATGGTTAGAGATATCATCACTTTACATGTGAGGTTACAATAAGAGGAGGAAAGAGACCATCATCACCAGTTTGTCATTTCCATATACCTTCACGTTTGTCGTCATTCTAGTGGCCATGCAACCTTAAAATGACTCATTATCAGAGCTTTCCTCGTAGCAAAGGCAATAATGGTGTTTCCTATAGAGGTTTTTTCCTTAGCTTTGCCTAGTGATATGGGTCTCCACATGCTTCTGGGGGAAAAGAAACAACAGTATCGTTTACCAACTGTTCTCCTGATAATAGATTTTCCGTTAGGTATGGTAGCCATCTGTATACTGGATCAATGAACAATAAAACAGAAAAACACTCCTTGTGTGATCTCTACGTTGTTCATTTTTAGAACAAAGTGCTTACCTACAATTTTAACGGAAGCCGTTTCACTTTTGATCAAACTCATTGGAAGCATGGTGATGGTCGAACCGCGAAGAGTGTCGTTGTCTGGTGTACGTTTTTGAGGGTCTTGTTCCGTCCTATCCGAGGACCAGAGCTTAGGGTTTTGAAGTACCAAACTGGCTTGACATGCATACTCTCCTTCGTCCTCAAATGTTAATTCATTGATTGTGAGCGTGAAGTCACCTTTGGAATAATAAACAAAAATTCGGACGATAATAAATACCTGCATATCATATTTTAACGAACAACAAGTCCTTGAATAAGTTAATAAGATAATAAGCTAATAATATTAGTGTTTACGTCCTTTTATGCGAACAGTCAACCTCTGCTCTCAGAACTAGTAAAAACGTCTTATAGACGTTTTTACTTATTATGAGTGCTTATTATGAGTACTTATGAGTACTTATTATGAGTGCATTTAATTTTACTCTCACTTGCAAATTCTTATCCAGAATGAGTAAATTATGGAGAATATATTCTGTCTTATGTTGATCAGTGACTGTTTATCAGTTTTGGAAAAGTAGACCACATCGAGATGGTACGTGCACCAATTTTATCCTCTTTAACCGAGAAGGGTTCCATAATACACTGACTAAAGATTATGGAGAAAGCACTGCGCAAGGGCTTCTGGACCGCAGACGAACTAAATCACACGTCCGAGCTACTACAGGTAATTGCTCTTGTTGAAAAGTTGATAATAAAAACAACAACAGAATTTGTGTGGGAAGCGCATAAAAGTAGAACACTAAACACTATCAGCAACAAATTTTTCGACCAAGTGGACCATGTCACCAAGAATCTAGAATCATCTTTCCAACGTGCAACATTCTTGAGGGACAATGAACGTGGTTATAGACGAACCGACGCAGCAACAGGCCGGCCTAAACCCCTTTTCAGGTGCATTTTCGCTTCCACTGAACTTCTCAGCCGATCTCTCTTGGTGCCCGTACTCCGCAATACGCCGCATATGGGCAACAACACGACAGCACCGTCTGGAGTCCGTGTAAAGAAAAAGTTGATCTTACGTACGTTGTTTAAGAGGAAGACAAAAATCTACGTTTATCTTCTGATCAACAGCGTAACCTGCTAAAACTCATATACTGAAGAGATAATCCGATATGTCGGTTGAACCATGTTAAGAAATTATAATGAATATTAGAATTAGAAGGAGATACTGAGAGAAATCAGAAATCGTAAGTTTCGTGCTGTCTAATGCTTGGCCAGTTGACACTTCAGAATGAAAAATTCCAGCGCAGTTTGTGCAACCTATAATTACCTTAACTACTTTTGTCCTCTTTTACGTTCCTTCCGAAATGAAACCAGTTAGGTGTAACTGATGGTGCTAGTCGAATAGGCTAGGTAAGAGGGAACGTTGTCTAGACAGAATCAAGTTAAGCTAGGTAGGTGGGAACGTCGTACCGTACACTCTAAACTAGTTAGGCGCGTATCTGCGTACATGTCTTATCAGGTCTAAACTAGTCTTTGCGTGACAAACCTAGTGGAATCCGAATAAAAAATAGGCAATTTGCCATGTTCAAGTTGTTATAGTCATGATTCATTCAATGAGAACCGGCGAATCATATTATCAACTGGGGTATCTTGCCACAAACGTTTGCGTGCAAAACATTTAGTGTAATTTTGAACGCTTGGTCTCAAAACTAATTTCGCTGCGGAACATAAGCATAGCCCGCTTCCACAAAAGCATCTCAATAATGTCATATATTGCTTAAGATGATTACTAAAAAGGAGAAAAATACCTACTCTTGCAAATGAGTTGCACCGGCTAGACTGTTCTTCAGTGAGGCACAGTCATTTTCTGCTGGCCAAGCTCCTTACCGGATCCAAGATGTATCAATTTTTTCCACCATAAATGTCTGGCCTCTGGGCTGTTCTTGAAGTGCAAACCAGAGCTTAATACTGGTGAAAACTTCTGAGTTACACCGCCAGGCGAAATTTCAATGAACCAGAACCTTGTAATCGATCTACTTACTGTTGTGAGGTTGAAACGGCTGAGAGAGTTTTTTCTACATTCATACGGAGTCTAAAAAGACAGCCATTTTACGTGAAAACTAGATAAATGTTATGATGTAAGAAAAAGTTGGAAACCAAGCTCCGGAAAATCATGCGATCAGAATGAGATTCAGCAACATGTTGATCGATGACTGATCAAGGTTACTTTGTTGGTGGGATCATGCAATCTACATAGGATAACTGATGGCTCACGCTTCAGTGAATATTTGAAAATAGAGTTTTATGGTTTAATTTTAACGGCAATAGAGATTGAGCCCAGGAATCACAAAAAATTTACCTTTCGTTGAAGATCCCAACATTCTGTAACGCCCTCCAAATGTATGCAACAGGGCATCTGCATCGTAGCCAAAACCGTCCTTAATCCACTGGACCGAAAGTTTGACGGTTGGATTCAAGCTGTCTGGTGTAATGGCGTACCACTTCGTAGGGGTTTGGTTTTGAAAATCGAGCTTTGGAGTAAATACAGCTGATGAGTGATTAGACATCAGTACAGTCACGTGACAGCGCAATCTGACGGTCTCGTTCACAAGGCTCTTTTGATGAACAGGACCGTTAATGTTCAAATAAGGAAGCAAGACGCTGGGTTGCGTATCACTGATTGTTTGATGTATGACGAACAGGAGAACTGCAATTGAAGGAGACCTTATATTAGCTTATTTCGGTAAAGAGGTGTATTAATAGGACAAAAAATTAACACGGCTTCTCTTTTGGGCAACCGGTTCTTCACAATGAATTAGCACTGACTTTTTCGCCTTCACCCAGCTAATTATTTTTTGCGGTAACATGGGCGGTGATGTGAGCAATTTTCCCAACAAAATTTATTCTATATTTGTCTACTTAATTTCGCGAATTCTCAGCCCGCATAAAAGCAACCCCATCCGCGGAAGCGACCTATGGGAAGATCATTAGTGTCACGCACATGGGACTTTGAAATACACTTGGTTTCATATTGTTGCACGAAATGGGCTAGACAAAGTTCTGACTTTTACGGAAGTGTAGCGAGGCGGTTTAAGTTCGTTCGGTAAGAATATAGTCGAAATAGCGGTGTGAAATGTGGCGGAACAGTGCCTAAACGACAATGCCAGACTAGCTTGTTTTATGATGGAAGGCGCTGTTAGCCAGATTTATACTACTCCAATTTGCCTGGCCGCATGGATAAAATATAAAAGGCATGCTACACAGTCACGAAGTAGTACTAATAAGATGAGAAACCACATGTCGTCTTTTTACATTTCCACGGATAGTATCGCAAGAATGGTAAAAGGGCTGTTCATCTTCCCTTCATTTTTACCGGATTAATTTCTAGGGGACTTATTTGAATGTGTGTATTTTATGCACCTTCGGTTAGTGCCTAATTGAATGCAGCTCGCCATTGAACAAATTGAGATGCATAAATTGTAGGCTAGCTACAAATATTTCATGTAGTGGTCTACCATTACTAGTTATAATCATACCGTTACAAGTCACACCACATTTATTACCCATCAAACGTTGGATTGTCTTCCGACGATGGCCACACTTTTAAATGAATTCAGCCAGCCTATCACTTTTTTTCCTTACGTCCCAACTAACTTAATGCTGCCTCAAAAAGTTTCGTATGTAGCTTCCGTGTTTATCGTTCTTTTTGTTTAATGACAAGGATAAAGTTTTATCCCGGGGGAATGTTTTTCATGTGTTCTTCTCCTAGTCCTTTTAGGTGGATTCCATAGGCTCCTCTTCAGGGAGTGTTCCAAACGTGCTCACCATTTTTGGTCAATCGGCATATGTTAAGTTAGTAAGAAAGTCGGATACGAAGTTCATAGAAATTTATGCAAAGTAGTGGACTCTGTAAATAATTTTTAAAGTAACTTTCCTCCCTCAATAGGGTCATTTTAGTTGACTAGCCGAAGGGATATCACTCTTTGGAGGCCCAAATTCCAGTAAACATGTTTCGCTTCTTCTTCAAGAACCGGCTAACAGGAGTATAAAAATAAAGAGATGGTTGTGGTAAAGTATTTTCTTCCCAGCGATTTTCTTAACAACGTTTCTTCCAGTAAAACATTCTTTCCCCTGCACGGCTATCGCATACAAATAAGCCATTTGTCCTTCATAATGAGGCCATTCCGCTAGTTCGCTTAAGTTGGTTCAATTTCCGCTTCCGTGCCTGAGAGTGGATACCAGCTATTGAATTATTCCGCTGCATGTCAAATCCACACATCAGTCGACTGAGCAAGCGCTCTCTTATTCTGCCATATAAATACAGTCTAACATCCAAAGTGATATAAACCAGATTTAGTATAAAGTTCAACGCAACTACTTGCATAGCAAACGTGAAGCTTTATTGCCACGTTTTGAGCGCGAGTTTCCTGACTACTGCTGAAATAAGATTATGTGATCTGAGTAGCCGTTAGAGGTTCATCACCATCGAAGACAGCAACATCAGTGTTGCCACTGATGCTTCACTGCCGTTAGAGGTTGCATTTCTTCGTATCCCTAGTGGGTTTTCGCCAATGAGAATTTGGAATTTTGATGATTTCCAAGGTTATTATAGAAGGGTCAACACAAATTGAATTTGGGCAACACATTACCCTGAAAATATCGATCAAGCATGTACTCGATATAGCTTAGCTTCAAACCACATGATCTAACGGTACAAGCTGTCTGACAATACGGTCGGAAAATGCCTTCCGGGAAGCAGTTAATGAAACTGTTCGACGGAAATTTTCGCCTTCTCTAAAAACGTATGAAACACATATTAAAAACGCATACTAAGGACATCGCACAATATGTTACTCGTTTGTCTGTTGCTTAAAGTTGTTTTAAATAATCACCACATAGTCAACCCTTGGCTATCGATGGGTCCATAGAAGTTGGTGTTGTTAAGATTGGTCGTAATATCAGAATAAGATATGCACCAGTCATGCACAGTTGTGCCTCATAAAATTTGGCTGTAAAATCGGTTCAGTTGAACACGCAAATCTTGTGTGAGTCGTTTCTGACATCACTGTATTGAATAATGCAGCTTTTGCAGGCAGCTTATGGTCCGGCCCCACCATATGGGTTGCCTTGTTCTTCCTATGCACAACACGGCAAGTAATCCAAGTCATATAGCGTCTTTGGAATGTCAGTAGACGTTTTCTTGGTGTAGCAGTTCTGGATAATCAGGGACTTTGCAGAGTGAATATCCGAAGGTCGAATACATATATTTATTTAGTGTCCAAAGGATGCTGAGGTACAATTAAATAGGACCGATGGAGACCGTAAATCCATGCGGTCATTATCATCCGAGGAATAGCAATTTATGTGAAGATCTAACCACTTCAACTTTGCTTTAGTGAGAAGTGTTATGCAAGCTGTTTGGAATTTCAAAGTTGGATATTAAAAAACGGGTACTTATAGGAGCAACAATCGAGCATGCCATTTAGACATCCTTGCAGTATGGAAAAAATTAATACGAAATAAGGCAGAAATGGGCTTGAAATGAATTCTCTGTTTTACTCCTTCTTTTACCACAGTTTTGCGACAATCTTTGCCTTATTTCACATGCTGTGTATATTGATTACAGATGATTGAGTACAGTGCGAGGCCACGTGTGCATATTTCCTGCAGAGTCTTACGTTTACCATTCCCAACAGTTGTAACAGAATTCGCTTTTCACGTACAACAAGCTCACGTGGTGTCTCACGGTATTTGCTTTTGCGCACGATTACGTGTTTGTACTCATTTGACCGATCTGTCATCCTGCTTCAGTGCTATCTGTGTGACGTCTTCAATGACGTGGTAATATGTGTGCCACTACAGTGGTTGAACACCGAAAACCTAGCGAAGACTTGTAGGCTGCCAAAAGGCTACTTGCGTTCGAACTAATGTAACCAAGGGACCACAGCTGAAAACATGTAAGAAATGTACAATAGAAATGAAACAGTTAGCTCAAAATGTAAAACCATTGAAAAGTTGAAATGGAGAGCATAGTTGTTAACATCTATTAATTAGATGTAAACATCTAGTGTCTCCAAAATTAATGCGTGGTTGAACAAATTGCTTGCTTACAAAATGGATTCAAACGGGTTGATGGCAGTAGTTGCTCCTAGACGTAATGCGATGATTCAGTAAGAAGAGTGGATAAGTTGAAGTTCCTCAACTTGTTGAACTAAATAGTCATAGTCAGCAGTGCATGAATGATAGGACTTCCGAAACCAAGGTTTTCTGTTTGTGTTAGAGAATTTTACTGAAAGGAGAAGCAAATGTCTTTTCATCGTTATGAAAAATCGTTTAGCGGTAGCACTTTCAATGACTAGCTAGCATGGAAGGAGACATGCGACCTCGGATACTGTCAGGACGCCCAAACCTAGACAGTAGCAGTGGAAATGCTGAGGTTGCGTTCGAACCGCAGATCTTCCGGTCCGTAGGCTGGCGCTTTAACCACTGAGACATCTCGAGCTATCTCGTCGCTGTAAAACGTGCCCCCACTGCTAGTTTGTAAGCGATCAATGTTCACCTAAGACTTAAAAATTGCTCCACCCTACACAACTCCATTGCTGGTTTGTGCGTTGAAGTTCATAGCAATATCTTCATTACAGTGTTCTCTCTTCCATCACGACTTTTCGGTACATATCGTTGGCTTAAATCGATTGCCTTAAAGATCTGCCGCAGCTAGGGTGCTCAATAAAGTGATTTCTCGGTCGATACTAATGTTGGCACACGATTTTACCTTCGACATAGAAGCATGTCCATCTGTCGTGTCTTTTAGGCGGTGTCCATCGCACAGTTAGCTAAACGGACATTCTTCTAAAAACCTGCTACCCCGTTCCTAGTGGGGCCCATATAACAACTACATATAGTTCTCCGCCATCCAAACGCCGGTTTCGTGTTGGGAAAGCATAAACCAGTATGAGGAATGAAGTCAATTACAAGCTCATTATGCAACCACATGATATAGTCCCGTCCGTTGCGTGGGGCTCGTTTAGTGTTGTAGTCACAAGTGAGTCACGCCAATAGTTATAGGACAAAAGGGCTAAGATATAGATGAAGTTACGATTCCACCGAACGGCCAAAGCTGCTTGAGGAAGCTAGAGTAAGTTGGAGATTAGTTAGAATGCAAATTTGTCCTATGCATACGGAGGATTTTCTACCGATGTCTATCTATTGTTCACCGTAGTGTACTTCTCAACTCATATTGAGTTCTTGATGGTCCTGTGATGCTTTGCATCTTATTATACAAGTCGTGATCTTAGGTGCACCTAAGAAAGTTTGTTTACCCAGACAGTGCGAAACCAGAGAGCTTCATGAATTCACCTATCCTATTCAACATTCCGATTGTTAGCTTCCGTAGATGTGTTCAATTAACAGTAAACTTCACCTGTTTCCTCTTCAAGATACATAGCAGCACTTTGTATCCAGACCACGGAAAGGTTTTTCAATTTTCTCTCCGCTATCATTTCCTTTTCCCCTCTTATCAAACCAGGGTTTACGAAAGTCCCCACACAATGAGTTTTTCTGAGAACAGAGATGGCTGGTTTCAATAAGGACTTCATATTCCTCAGATAATACACTGCTTCTGAAGAAATTGTTGCGAGCTTCTTGGAGATGCATTCTCTTGTTTATTCTTACATCCTGATCAAAAAGTTTTCGAAACAATGTTTGTACTTCAAGTTGCCCGATGAGTAGTGATGAATGAAGGAAGCGTCTGGCTTCCGGATGCGGTTATTTAGTTTCGTGTCGAGGATCAGTTAGGACTGAATAGAATTCTCTTGTAACTATGCCTAAATATTCGACGTGCAGTGTCAGTCAAATTACAAATTTACTGCAACTTGGAACGCCAAAATTAGTAGTTACGTTCAGATTCAAAACCGCAGGCGGATAACTGGCATTCTGTTCTCTATGACCGGGATATATTCAGAATTTTCTCTATCGTGAACTTAAACCGATTTGGGAAAATCCTTACGGGTGAAGCGCATTAGCAAGTGCATACCACTGTAAGGCTGCGTGAGATAAAAAGCCAAGTACTCTAATTCAGTCTACATAAAATATAACTGCTGCAATATCGATAGCTAGGCCAGAACTGACCAACCCACAGAGGGAACGCCGGTTTGTGTCAAAGGATGATTGAACATGATTGAAACAACGTCGGCATTAGACGTAGTTTTTTTACCCCTAGCCGATCAGTGATAAGGATAACGATAGTCATGCTCCGAGTTAAAATACACAAGGGTCCAAATTGGAAGTTAACGCAGCTTGAGTCCATGGACCTGGCACATTGAGTTCATATAAGTTACGTTTGTTTGCAGAGAAGGGGGATTTGGACGTTCACACTTGGAATCCACCGGACATTTATAAGACTGCTCGAACAAAACCTTTTTACTTTGTATGGGTTGTGAGTGGTTTGGACTGCTGTGTACACGGTGGTTCATAAAACTTGCGGTTGTGCAAAGACAAGTGAAATCATTTCACGTTTTTAAGTATCAGTTTATGAAACAAGACAAAAGGCTTTTATATTTATAGTATTCACTTGAACTCCATCAATGTCATCTTTGTTTGACACACGATGGCAAATCCTGGATGTGCAGTACTGGTTTTGCTGAAATTCGGACCAGATATAAAACAACAACCTTCTGTAAGCATGTGACCTAGTCCCTTCTGGGGGTGATAGAAAGAGTATTCAGTACATCGAATATCTTACATTGTTCTTTGTTTGACTGTAATGTCCCATGAAGTGAAGATAACGTCAATATCGATCACGGAGGAACTAGCACCCCTAACGAAGGCTTCCTACGAAAGGCGAATGAATTAAAAGATATACACACCCGCCCAGTGTAGGACCTGGGTTTATTCGGGAAAGCCCAATTCGGTGACACATGAACTCACAAGCCAAGAATTGCGAGACCTTGGAAGTCAACAATTAAATGTCTTACTACATATGTAAAAAATACGTACATGAAAGTGATAAAAACGTCAGATTTTTTGAATTTCCGTCCAAATTGTTGCACGAATTGGAGCAAGCCTAAAGAAATTCTTAAAAGGGTCTTTCAAAAGCTACAAAACCCGAGGAGTACGAACCTTTCGTTCTGATTTAGCACCAAAAGTGTGCGCTCAGCCAGCGCGCACAGCGCACGTAAAAATTCCGTGAAAATGGGTTCAATGTGACAAGGTTCAAAAGCTCATTAGGGGTTACGGATCCGCATCGAACCTATCAAGTAGACGCAGTAAACAATAGGTTCAAACAAGGGGAGTTTGATCGGGGGCTTTGCTTTCTAACATGAGCTAAAAAGGGAGCTAACGTAACAGGTCATTCCACTGGCTTTGCTCTTGTACGCAAAATTAGATGACCAATCAGGATCACATCATAAAAAGCAGAATGCCATTTTGTACATCCGTAGGTTATTTCCCTTTAGCGGTAAGTAATGAGTCATACTGGTTAGCGGCTAATAAACTTTTGCGGGGACTGTGTTTGTCGGAGGCATTACCCAGTCTGCCATTATTGCGTAAGTCGATATGAATCGACGTTCATCAAAGTTCCAAAATGCTTTTTTCCAACTAACCTTCCAGTACGAATCATCTTTCGTGGCCCTAAAATCGATGACCGGCCAGGTTTAGCATATCACTTCTGTGCAACTTTTTTTGCTAGCATGTGTACACTTAGCTAATCCTAGTCTTAAATGTCAACTGATTTATTCGGGAACTTCGGAATCACTATTTGGTGCGTCATTTTTTGACCCTACGGAATAATGTCAGTA